GCGGTGGGTGGTGATGACTAGCTTTGCGAAGGAATACGACAAAAAAAAAAAACACTTCATTTTTCATGCTTGCTCTTTCAGCCGTGGGGGCGTTATAATGTGATGGTCAATCTCACTAGCTGCCATCCCTCTAGTATTACACTGCTAAATTAGGGACGGCTAGCGCAGATAGCTCTCGTGTAGCTTTTCGCGAAATTCAAAAACAAACAAACAATCGTAGCTGTTATCGAATGTGTTTTACAAAAGTGTTAAAAAAACAACATTTTTCTCATAACCCTAAGACCTTGTTTGGAAAATGAATGTTTGATAGGGTTCGACATTGCTGGCAAACTTCTTGTCAATTTTAATAAGTTTGTTCCCTTTTAATTTGCAGTTTCTGAAGAATGGTGCGGATTAACACACACACACACACAACAGTAATCTGTAATTATTGATTTCTAACGATTATCCATAAAGACAGAATGACCTACATGTTAAAAACCTGTTACCTACGTGTTAAAACCTGTTACCTACATGTTAAAACCATGGTCTAACGTTGTCTGTTTTTCCTTACACTCTTCTGATTCCGGCTAGCGTTTTATAACGTGGTTTAAATCTTTTGTGAAGACCTAAGATAAGCAGTATAAAAGGAGCGAACTTTGAACCTGGTTGTGCATTCAGTAAACCACCGCTAGGAGGCTAAGTTATACTCGTGTCGAAGAAGATAATAATTATTTCACTCGCGAGGTTCAGTCTATCTTTGATAGGAAAGTGTTCTCTCTCTCTACTTGTAAAATATACATATTTCTGATTATAACTCGGAATGGGTGAAAAGACAAAGCTGTTGAAGCACCAAGACAGTGACGAACTTAAGTATGGCAGCATTAAGGATCAGGATACAGATTCACGCCACTCTAGGTGAAAATTTAAATTTCTAATCTACATTCTTTTTTCAGCGAAAACATGGTAATACTCACTCAATTTATGAAAGGTAGATGAAAGTTATTTTATTGATCGACATTGGATCTGTTGTGGTATGTATATCATTTGTAATGTTAAGACTAACAAGGGTTAGCAATTGGTAATGCAGCAGATCACCAAAATATATACGTAAGTAACAATGGCCACAAGTAAAATTATAGTTGTTTCTTCGAATATGGGAGAATGATCTCGGCTGAGCAAGGAGAACAAGTTTCTAAAAAAAAGTTTGTCCCAGTTACGAATTAACGAATAAAGATTCCTCCCTCAGACCACTAGAGTGAACCAACCCGATAAGACTCATTATATACAAAAATTCTAAAATTTTCCAAATGGTGGCAAAGTTTTTATATAGATTATCAAAGCAACAAAGTTAATTTTATATTTAAATTCTCTTTAGAAGAAGAAGAAGAAAAAACTAGCTTTTGGAGGTTTTGTTGGATATTAAGGATTATACAATTTTATATCTTATGTTTTACAAAAGTATGAAAAGGTGTTATTTCTGTTTAATGAATTCCATCTTTAATTTAAGTACAGCTTATTAAACCGAGTATCAGTAATATTTACGTGCGATTTGGAACTTTCAATCTGAACGGCAACGCCCCCCTGTGACTCAGCGGTAAGTCTGCACTCTTACGACACTTAAAATCGGGTTTCGATACCAGTAGTGACAGAGCACAAATAGCTTATTATCTAGCTTTGTGCTAAACTACAACCTATCAACCAACCAATGAACGGCAACTTAAGCGCACGTTGGCTAGACGGCTAAGCTAGGAACATCTATGGCTCAGGACCGCCAGTGGCACAGCGTATGTCTGCGGACTTACAACGCTAGAATCCGTGTTTCGATACCCGTGGTGGGCAGAGTACAGATAGCCCATTGTGTAGCTTTGTGCTTAATTGCAAACAACAATCTGTGGCTCAGATATAGCCATCCCTAGTTTTGAACTACTAGCCAGAGGGAGGACAACCAGCTATAAGTACCCATCACCACAAAAACATCACCAAGCTCTTTGAGCAGAAAAGCTGGATGCTGGGTTGACTGTCATTTTTATAGCGCACCCACAGCTGAAAGTTGACGAGAGTGTTCATTAGCATCATGTCTTAAACCTTTGACCCTACGACCCGATCCGGTTATAAGCTCTGAAGTCATAGATACTTCCAGATTTGGTGGTTATTATTTGTAAAAGGAAAAATGAGGTCAGTGTTTTTCAAATTCGTCTCGCCCACTATGGCTCAACCGTAAGTCTGGAGGCTTATATACCTAAAATTCAGGTTTCGATACTGGCACAGGTAGCTAGCTCATTGTATATTTTTGTGTTTAATAACAAACACTCAAATTCTCCTTTTCATTACACTAATTTACTACATCTTTTTGTGTAAAGTGGTAATCCTTGAGATTAGATTAAGGAGTAGCACAAACATGGTAATCCTGGAGATTAGATTAAGATTAGATTAGCACAAACACAAACAATCATGAAACATAAATATATAACAGTAAACATACATGAATTTATTCTCCACTATGGCGGGGGGGGGGCATTATAACTTTGACAGTTAACCCCTCCGTTCGGTTAAGGTTTGGTTTGTTTTAAATTTCGCACAAAGCTACACGAGGGCTATCTGCACTAGCCATCCTTAATTTAGTGGTGATGGACTAGAGGGAAGGCAGGTAGCCAACACCACCCACTGTCAACTCTTGGGCTACTTTTTTACCAATGAATAGTGGGATTGACCTTCACATTATATGCTCCCGAGGTTCAAAAGGCGAGCATGTTCGGTGACGAGGGTTAAAACCCGCGACCCTCAGATTGCCAGTCGAGCATCCTAACTGTTTGGTTAAGAGAATCCAGAAACAGTGGGTACTGCTGACTGAAGGCCATTTCTCTGGTTACCAGTTTTAAATTAGAATGGCTATGCGTGAAACCTGAACTCTTTGACCTAACCGTTTAGCCCACACAGCATATTTAGTGTTGTCCACATTGAAAATAACAATTATGAAACGAGAGTGATAGTTGTTGCACATTGGATTACCAAACAACAAAAGACAGGCGCCAATTTTGTAACATTTACTTTTCAAACAACAACAGAGAACAAAAGATCTACTGATGTATCAAACAATAAAACACGATAGATCTGCTGATGTATCAAACAATAAAACACGATAGATCTGCTGATGTATCAAACAACAACAAAACACGACAGATCTGCTTATGTATCAAACAATAAAACACGATAGATCTGCTGATGTATCAAACAACAACAAAACACGACAGATCTGCTGATGTATCAAACAATAAAACACGATAGATCTACTGATGTATCAAACAACAACAAAACACGATAGATCTGCTGATGTATCAAACAATAAAACACGATAGATCTACTGATGTATCAAACAACAACAAAACACGATAGATCTGCTGATGTATCAAA